TTACTGCCGTCTAATTGAATCCGACTCATAGCAACGTGACCCTCCTTGGGTTTCTCATGCAGTATCACTACAGAAGTAGATTGCCCAACCTTCCTTCCGAGGAGTGGCTGGGGGCTTTGAACTGCCAGCCTTCTGATTAGCAGTCAGATGCCTTCGGCACTTCACCACCAGAGCTCCCTAGATGTGGAATATTTCCTAATAAATATATATGTAACGATGACAATTTGTCAGGCACTATTATGGATGGGTAAGGCATTTTGGCTACTAACCAGAAGGTCGGTGATTCAAACCCTCTAGCCACTCCACAGGAGGGAGATAATACGATCTACTTCCATAAAGATTTACAGCCTTGGAGACCCAGAGGAGGTCGCTATGAGTTGGAGTCGACTGGATAGCACTGGGTTATTAAGGATTGAAAACAGCCCTGGTGGCACAATGGTTATAGGCCTTGGCTGCCAATGAAAATGTCAGGAGCTCAAACCTACCAGCTGCTACACAGGAGAAAGATATGGCAGCCTGCTTCCATAAAGGCTACAATCTTGAAAACCCTATGAGGCAGTTTTACTCTGTCCTACAAGGTTGCTGTGAGTGCAAACTGACTTGATGGTAATGGGTTTGGTTCTAGTATGAATTGAACTATGTCCTCAAAAAACATGTGTTGCAAATCGTATCTTCTACACCTGTGGATGTAATTTCACTGGATCGTGTTTTCTTTGTGATGCTAGTGAAGACTTAACGGTGCAGGGTGTGCTTTAAGCCAATCTCTCCTGAGATATAAAAGGAGATTAAGCACAGAAGCAAGAAGGACAAATAGAGAAAGATTGATGTCATGTGGAGACTGCCAAGGAACTGAGGAAGAGAGGTTGACAGAGACAAGGATCTTCCGGCACCCTGAACTCAGACTTCTAGCCCCCTAAACTGTGAGAAAACACACTTCCGTTTGCTAAAGCTCCGGCTTGTGGTACTTGTTACAGCAGCACTAGCCAACTAAGACAGGCTCTTCTCAGCGTGGAGTCCCTGTTTCTCAGATGGAGCCCCTGAGTGGCACAAATGGTTACGGGCGTGGCTACTAACTGGTTCAAGTCTACCCAGACGTGCGTCTAAAGAAAGGTCTGATGATGTCCTTCTGAAAGATCAGCTGCTGAGAACCCTTGGAGCACAGTTCTACTCTGAGCCACATGGGGTCGCCATGAGCCAGGGTCGACTCAGCAGCTGGTTGGTTCTTACTATCCGGCATTCACAGAGCCTGAGAGGTGTGATTATGTTCAGTTCCTCGACAGATGAAGAAACTGAGGCACTGAGACGTCAAAGAAGCTGCCCAAAGCCCCATAGCTTGTTTAGGGGATCTGGGATTTGAACCCAGGCTGTCTGGCTCCCGAGCTGCACTCTTAACCACTGGCAACATCAGCTCTCCTCTCACCACTAATGCACTCGCTCCGCCTTTCACTGACAATGGGAAGCAGCAGCCTATAGGACATCTCGTGGGCCTGACAACTGGAGCCTCCTCCAGAGGCAGAGGCTTATAGGAAGGAAGGGAGGCTCTGTAATCTGAGTTCCAATCCCAGCTCTGCCATTGACTAGCCATGTACGTCTGACGAATTTCTAAATCTCTTTGAGCCTCTATATCCTTCTCCACAAAATGGGCTTATAATAGTCTCATCTCATGGAGTTGTTACAAGGATTCAATGGGATAAGGCACAAAGATGATCACACGTGCTAGCATGGGGTGACTGTGAGCACATAGCAGGAGTCAGCAAACTACGGCCCATGGGGCAAATCTGCTCCACCCCGTTTTATTATTTTTTAGTTACGTTTCATTGGAACACAACCAGGTGCATCTGCTACTGCTTCTGTCAACAGCTGTTTCCTCATGCTCCAACAGCAGGACTAAGGGCTCGCAAAGAGACAGTGTAGCCTGCAATGCACTCTCTGGTCCTTTGCAGAAAAGTGTGCCCACCTCTGGTAGTGAATCCCCAACATTACTTCAGCAGAAGGACATTCAACTCAGGCCTCCTATGTTTCGCTGCTAGGCCAGTGCCCGGATAACAAAAGATTCTGAAAATGACTCAGGCCACATAATTATTCCCACGCTCTCTACCCTCTATCCTCCAAGTCCAATCAAGAATACAGAGGAGAACCACCCAGACAGCTTAGTCAAGGGTTATACTGCAATTGAACTTTGTCTACATAACATGCTTTCATGCAGCTGAGCATTGTTTGGATGCATGTTTACTATTAAAAACTCAAAAAATGTGTAAAAGCTTGAGTGAAAAGTTAAAGGTGCCTGCCATGACTCCTGTCCCCTGCAGAGAGCCATATGAAGGGTTTGCTGTGGGTCCTCTGAGCGCTCTTTTTATGTACTTCCAGAGTGAGACCACTGCCTGTTGTTGTTGTTGTTGTGTGCCGTCGAGTCAGCCCTGACTCATAGCGACCCCTCCTTGGGTTTCCGAGGCAGTATCACTACGGAAGTAGGATTGCCCAACCTTCCTTCCGAGGAGTGGCTGGTGGGTTTGAACCGCCAGCCTTCTGGTTAGCAGTCAAGTGCCTTAGCCACTATGCTACCAGACCACTGCCTACATAACCTAAAACCTCTTTCCTTGACTAGTAGTAAACCGAGGCACATGTCTGAAATGGGGAGGCCTGAGTTTTAATTCAAGTTTAGCCACTAATTAACTGGGTGATCTTGGCTAAGTCTCCTTGGGCCTCACAGTCCCACATGGGCAGTGAAGAAGCTGTATCTGCATCCAGATTTCCCGGGGGTCTTTCCAGTCTTTTTCTTGAGGCCAGTTTTCTTGGTGCATACATTCCTTGCGTTTCAAGACGGACCCAAAAGCCCGCCTCCTGGTTCTGCACTTGACCTGCTTGATGTTGCCTGACTCTTCCCCAGCTGGAAGATTCAGCTCCTCTGTGCCGGCCTGATCCCGCTCCACCTTTGGGCCCTGAGGCCCTCCTATACCCAGGCCTTTCTTGGTGTCTCCCCTCTACCTCAGCCCCTAGAAGCTTCAGGTGCTCTCAGAATTGGTGTAAGTAAAGGGGTTCCCATCTGTTAAGTGTGTACCATGTGCCAGGTACTGTGCTAGATGGGCTACACTCATGATGCCATTTCACACTCATGTCAGTCATACAAGACATGTTTTGTTGTCTCCACCGTAAGGATGAGGAAACCGATGCTCAGGGGTAACTGGGCCAAGGGACAGAGTTGCATGAGAAGCCAGAGCTGATGGCCCTTGGCTCTACTGAACAGCTCCACACCATGGAGTGCCTTATTCCTACAAGCTCCATGGGGTTACTTACAGAATATGCTTCTATGGCATCAGGACACTGTCTAATCCCCTTTTGTCTGTGAAAACCTTGCTCAAGGCGAGGCATAAGGTTTCATGGAGAGATCACCATTGGCTTTAGAGTCACACAGACCTGTCTGAGGCCAAATCCCAGTTCCACCATTTCCTGTACAACCCAGAGTCTATAATGTACTCTCTCTAAGTCTCAGCTTCCTCATCTGTCAGGTGTCATCACAGTTACACTGAAGATAAATGAGATCGATATAGAAAGTACCTGGCACAATCTGGGCACATGGCAGGTGCTCAAAGATGTTAGTTATTCCATGGCCCCCACCACACACACAGGCGAGCAAACACACACACACACACACACACACACACACATCCCACTCCTGGTTCCAGACAGAAGCTTACAAATGATAGCAGCCCTCCACCAGTACTTGTGCGACTGTTGTTGTTGTTGTTGTTTGCCGTCGAGTCGGCGTCGGTCCCGACTCATAGCGACCCCTCCTTGGGTTTCCGAGGCAGTATCACTAGGGAAGTAGGATTGCCCAACCTTCCTTCCGAGGAGTGGCTGGTGGGTTTGAACTGCCAGCCTTCTGGTGAGCAGTCAAGTGCCTTAGGCACTATGCTACCAGAGCTCCCACTTGTGGGACTAGCCAACTGGAAGCTGGTTGGGCTGCGTGTTATCTTCATTTGTGTATCATTTAGCCTTGAATTGAAGGGCAATAAAAGGTATAAATCGGACATCTGGGTGGCAGGGCCACTTCCAGGCTGGGTTACCTCTCTCTCATATGAAAAATCAGGTGCATACCAACAGTGCCAACCTTACGAGGTGGTTGGTGAGATGAGATAATGAGTGTCACATGCTGAGCCCAAGTGCCCAGCACATGGAAAGTGCCCCATTGAGACTTCCTACTGTCACTGTTCCCCATCCACACCCCAGAAGAAGGTGAAACCCACCAGCAAAAAATACGTTTCAATGGCATAATTTAAGATGCAAAGAGACGCACGTGATACCCACCTGTGCAAAACTGTTCCCTCATCTTCCAAGGGCCCACTGCACTCTGCCTATGAGCCTCTAATACAGCTCTGATCGCTCCCTGCATCACAGCCAAAAGCAAAGAGAAGAGTGCCCAAGGCACAGGGCAGGAGTGACTACTCAGAGGAAGGAAGGATGGAGGGAGGGAGGGGAGAGGGAAGGAAGGATGGCAGGCAGAGGCAGGCAGACAGGAAGGGAAAGAAGGAGGAAGGGAGGGAGAAATTTTAGATGAAGAAACACGAGAAAGCTGCTTTGCACAGAGCCTCCCAAATCAAGGCAACCAGCTAGACATCTTTCATATCACATTCAATTACAATACTATTCCTGTCTATTCCAATCCCAAGATCCTGCTGAGAGGGGAACTATACTATATCAATACAGCCATGTTGCATCCTACAATTTTCACTATTGGCCCCAATTCCATTGTAATTCTATCCCTTGTCTTACAGACAATCAATTAAAGCTGTAACAAAAAGTGATTTGCTTTTTATACTTTTGTAAAACATTTCTTATATGAGACTTCACAAATCAGGGAGTTCCCAAATTCAGCAAATCGTGTGTCCCAATCTCAGGTTTGAACAACAGGGTGGGTTCACCGGGAGGATAAGAGGGTGAGCACAATGGGCTCTCCCCAGTCGTGCGGGGGGGAGGGGGGGCAGTGTGGGGCTGGAACTTACCCTCCAGGGGGCAGAACCGAGCCACCTTCTCGGGCATCAGGAGCCCCAGCTTGTGGCGGCAGTAGGTTTCTGCAATCTCCTGGCGACAGTGCTTGGACTTGGAGCGGGACAGGGCCGAGATGGCCTCCTTGCCCGAGATGTCACACTTGGGGGGCTGGTCGTACTTGATCTCGGGGGAGCTGCCCCCACTCTTCCTGGCATGGGCCTGTCGGGGGGCATCCTTGGAGTGGCTGCTGTTGGCTGCGGCTCTCTCGGCAGGAGGCAGCACTTCGTTGGCGTCTTTCCCCAGGAAGGTGTGTCCTCTCCCTTTCTCCTCCTGCTCCAGCTTCTTTCTCAAAAGCTCCTTTGGTTTACTCAGGGGCTTCTTCGCCAACTCAGGTGGGCGCTTCTGCTTTTGAGTCCTGGGGGCAAAGTTGCTGTTGTCGACATTCTCAAAATCTTTGGGGACCGAGTTCTCATTGTTGCTGTCTGTTCGCACTTTCTCTTTTGGCCGGTGTGAGAAGTAGCCATCCTGGAGAAACATAGGAGAAAACGTTATGAGTGATCGCTAATTAGGTGGGACCAGGGGAGAGTGGAAGGTCCTTGGGCATCACAAGTGATTTGCGCTTGCCTATTAACCAAAAGGTTGGCGGTTCTAAGCCACGGAGTGACGCCATGCAAGACAGACCTGGTGATCTGCTTCCATAATATTGCAGCCAAGAAAACCCCATGAAGCAGTTCTACCCTTTAATATATGGGAGCATCTCGAGTGGAAACTGACACGCCCACAATAGGTTTGTTTTTCGCCTTGTTGGGGAGGACGGAGCAGTGTTTGGAGTCTGGGTCCTGGTTTCAGGTTCTATCTATGCTACTGGCTTAAGCTCAGGTGAGACTTTTCTCTCTGGACCTCAGCCTCCCCATCTGGGAATATGATTGCGGTGTAGTAAATTACTTAGTGTGGCTTTTCTACCCATAAGTCTTTGTAAACTCCCAGATGGGAATTGCTATTAGCAACTGAGGAGATCCTGATTGCTAAAGTCGCCCACCTGGAGTATTTCTGTTGGGAGTGGCACAAAACAATGTTCTGGGAGGTGCCCACTCTCTCTCAGGTGCTTAGAGTTATGATGCTGTGATTGGCTAGTCTGACCACCCTGCCAGGCTCAAAAGGAGGCCTCCTAGGGGCAGAACTCTCTCTGACTGCTGGTTGAGGAAGACGTGCTGCTGAAAGAGACACACGCTCCAGAAAGAGACACGTGCTGCTGGGAAAGAGACGCAAGAGACACGCATTGCTGAGTGAGACACCGAGGGACCAGCACTGCTGGGAAAGAGACTGTGAGAGACTGTTGGCCGAGGGGCAGTGGGCTGGGAGAGAGACTGAGCATTTTTCCTGAACTTGAATTGTAGCCTGTGGTGCTTCCCTAATAAACCCTGTAATCTGTGAGTTCTCTGTGGCCACTGCAGCGAATTATCGAACCCAGGAGAGAGGTGGTGGGTGCTTTGGCAGGAACGGTTGGAGAAAGGGCTGGAGGGAGGCAGCATGTCTGGCCTGGCAGGAATAGGCCTTGGGTTACTGCTGGTAATCCTGTCTTCCTCTTGTGGGGTTAGAGGAGGTCAGAACATGTGGCCTCCTTGCCCTTTTTGCAATGATACACCTTCAACTAAAGAAAGCTCACTCCAGTTCTAAAGTGTCACGACTGTGATTCTCAACACTGGTTACTAACCACAGCACTGGCGGCACAAATGATTTATGCTCAGCTACTAACCTAAAGTTTGGTGGTTTGAACTCACACAGCTGTACTGCAGAAGAAATGCCTGGTGATCTGTTTCCATAAGATGACAGCCAAGAAAACCCTAAGAAGCAGTTCTGTGCAGGGGCAGCCACACAGACAGCTGACACTCAGCATGGCTCCTGCTCTAGTGACAGTCAGCAAGTTACGGCTCACCATCTGTTTTGGTAAACAGTTTTATTAGAATACAGCTACACCTGTTTATGTTTTGCTTATGGCTGCTTTCAGAAGCTCTGATGGGGCAGTGATTACGCTCTTGGCTACTAACTGAACAGTCAGTGGTCAAAGCCACCAGCCACTCCATGGAGAAGGGTGTGGCAATCTGCTTCTGTGAAGGCTGCACCTTGGAAATCTGATAGGCAGTTCTCCTCTGTCCTGTAAGGCTGCTGTGCGTTGGGATCGACTTGATGGCAGTGGGTATGGCTGCTTTTGCGGTGCAGCAACAGAGGTGGGTAGTTGTGACAGAGACCACATGGCCTGTAAAGCCTGAGCTATTTCTATCTGTCCCTTTATGGAAGCATGTCAAGCCCTGATCTACAAAGTGTGAAGTTTAAAAGCCCCTCCTTTTCTTGGCTTGGTGTGGTTGCCCTGGCCTACTATTCCCATCCGGTCAGCAGTGGACTGGAGAAGAAGCCATACATGGGGGTCCCCTTTGAGCTTTAGGGCAGTGGTGGCTCAGCTGTAGAGGTCTCACTGCCCACGTGGGAGGCTCTGGTCTGATTCCTGGCCGATGTGCTACCAGTGCGGCCACTGCCTGTCTGACACTGGAGCCTTGAGTGTTGCCAGGATGCTGAACAGGTGGCATTGGAGCTTCCAGACTAAGAGACACCAGGAAGAAAGGCCTGGAGATATACTTCTGAAAACTCAGCCAACGGAAAAAGTCCTGTGGGTCACAGCAGCCCACTGTACTGTTCTTGGGGTCCCCATGAGTTGATGCTTTGTCAACTCCCATCCAGTATTAAGTACAATCTCTACTACCTGGTGGCAGATGTGAGAACGACAGCTGACACAAAGACATCTCATAGCAACTCTGTTGTTGTTATGTGCCGTCGAATCGGCCCCGACTCATAGCGACCCCTCCTTGGGTTTCCGAGGTAGTGATACTGCCTCAGAAACCCAAGGAGGGGTCGCTGTGAGTTGGGTCTGACTCGACGGCACATAACAACAACAAAAACATCACTACGGAAGTAG